GCGATTGGCACAGGACAGAGCGGAGTTTAGGGCTGTTGTACATAGGGTCGCTATGAGTCGCAGGCGACTCGACGGCACATAACAACAACAACAACATATATTTATCTTTTTGAGGAAATTCCAAATTGTCTTTTTGAGTAGTTTTGCCATTTTACAATCTCACTAGCCATACATGAGAGTTTCAATCTTGGCTAGTTGTGGTGGCCTAGTGGCAAGAAGCTGCACTGTAATCTCAGAGGTGTGTGGTTCGAATCCACCAGATGCTCTGCTGGAGAAGTAGGGACAATTTCCTCCTGTGTCAGTCAGATCTGATTTGACTGTACACACACACACACACACACAGAGTTTCAATCTCTCCATATCCTCACCAACATTTATTCTTGCTGTCCTGATAATCTTTGCTCCTGCAGCTGAGGTAAATGGTATCTCATTGTCATTTTGATTTGAATCTCTCTGATTGCTAATTTGAGTGAAAATTTATAAATCATAATTTTTTATATAATCATTCACATACTTTGTTTCTTAGCATTAATTAATATGATTAGTAAAGGTCTGATCGACCCCTTATTGTATATTGCCTCTCCCTTCACTCAACTTACCTGTTTATTAATTTTAACTCCACACTGTTGTCTTGTGGAGCTCTGGTGGCCTAGCAGTAAAGGAGTTGTACCACCAACTTGAAGACAGAAAGTTCAAATAAACCAGCTGCTTCATGGAAGAAAGATGGGCAATCTCTTCCTGTGCAATTTACTGCCCCTGAAAACCCACTATGGGTCAGTTCTGACTCAGTGGTAGACAACAACTGCAGAGTTTCTGGCTGCAGTTGACAGAGTACATCTGATGGATCATAGTGAGCTGTAATCTTTACAGAAGCAGATTTCCAGGTCTTTGGCTGTGGAGTCACTAGGTGTTTTTTAATTACCCACCTTTTCGTTCATAAAAGGAAACTTTAACCATTGTGCTCCCAAGCTTTCTTTTGGGGCTACCTGAAAGTTAGAGGTGCTGGTCACAAGTGGGCAGAGAAGATCCCCCCTGACAAGGAAGAGAAGATGATCACCGTGTGTGAGGCTGGCTTTGTGTGGTACAATGAGTTTCTTTCTCCAAATGGCTTTCCTAAACCATTGTCTTTGACTTTCCTCACGTGGCTGGGTGGTAACATACAAACATAGTACATAAAACTACTCATAATGGGATTAGTCAGTTTTGCCATCCCATCTGGTTTAAATTGAGCAGGCGTAGCAAAAGAAAATGGGAATCTTGCTACCAGCAAAAAAGAAACAGCAGAGAATGCTGTGCCCATACCTCAGTTGATAAACTTTCCTGCACATCTCAGATGGAGACTGATCCGAGAGCTATAGCAGCAACAGCACAGAACCAGAAAGACATGAGAGAGGGCTAACTTGGGACAGACAGCTTCCCCGCAGAGCCAGTGTCAAAGCCCTTCACTCAAGCCTGCTGGAGCTTGGGGCAGTGGAGGCAGAGGGGATACTCCAGAACTAGCAGAACTAAGAGATTAAGGCTTACATCTCAACATCAAGAAAACAAACATCCTCACTGTGGGCCAACAGGCAATATCATGACAAATATTAAAGTTGGGAACAATTTCATTTTACTTGGATCCACAATCCACATCCATGTTAACAAGCAGTCAAGAAATCAAGAGACATGTTGCTTTGGGCAAAATCTGACAAGGGCCTCTCCAAAGGACTAAAGAGCAATGATGTTGGTTTGAAAACTAAGGCGCACCTGATCCAAGCCATGGTCTTTTTTATATTTCCTATGCATCTGAAAGTTGGACCATCAATAAGGATGGCAGAAGAATTGATGCCTTTGGATTGGGGTATTGGAAGAGAGTACTGAATATCCTATGGACTGTCAAAAGAACAAACAAATTTGTCTTGGAGGAAGGGATAGAGGATAGCCAAGGTTAGGATCTGTTGTTCATAGGGTCTCTATGAGTAGTGTATGATCCATGGTGCCTAACAACAACAATAAAAGCTGTAACACTGACCAAAAGCTGCAAGGTTGAAGGCAGAAAGATCTGTAATCATGCTAGAAAGGTTGTCCTGACTGAATGATTGCACCATTTCCCAAGTGAATTGTTAACTTCCTTAATAAGTTTCATAACCGTATGGTTCTGTGAGGTCTGTGTGGCCTTTGCAACGGATAGTGGGCTCACTAGGTGTGCGGCAAGATCCCTAGAAAGGAAGCTGGTGTTAGAAGGAAGCATGTTGTTGTTGTTGTTGTTGTTGTTGTTGTTGTTGTGTACCATCGAGTCGGAACCAACCCAGAGCTGACCCTCCGGTGGGTTTTCAGGGACAATTTCAGAGACAGCCAGAGGAGATTGACCATCCTTCTCCCACAGAGCAGCTGGTGGCCTCAAACCATGTGGTTTCAGGATATGCAACGCAGCTTCTTGCCACTAGGCCACCAGAAGGAGGCATAGGAGCATGGATATGTTCGATCTTGTGGAAATAGTGTAGATGAAAGCCTTGGGCTGTGGGTGGTATCGATGGGAACAGTTCCCCTTTGTAGAATTAGTATAGATGAAATACAGCCTCTCCATGCCCCCTTTTAACCTTTTCTTAGTCTTTTTACTCTCTACCTTTTTACACTCAGTGTACTCAGCACTTGAATCTTCCTCCCAGCAAGCCTAGGAAGCGGGGACTTACACTCTGAGAAAAATAGACCTGAATCTTGCCTTATCTTGTACCTACCTCCAATCTCCTTCTAGCTCAAGCCCGTTCTTACAGCCACAGTGTGAGTCCATCTTAACGAGGGTCTTACTCTTTTGCTGACCCTCCACTTTTCCCAGCCTGGTGTCCTTTTCTCAGGATTGGCCCTTCCTGACAAGGTGTCTAAAGTATGTGAGACCAAGTTTCACTATCCTAGATCCTGACTTCTGTTAAGGTTCGGACTTAAATTTTCTCCTCTCTGTAGCAGGAAGACAGAATCAACCTCCAAGTGGGGGCCTCTCTGGTGACCCAAAGCATGTCAAAGGTCACCAACTTGACCATACATAGACTAGGTTTAAAACAGCCTTCACTCCTTTGTTCCTGCAGTCCTTGTCTGCTTTGCCAAGCTGGACCCAGGGTGCTCTGTTTGCACTCTGTAGAGCGTGAAGTGCACCTCTGACAGTTTGAAACCATGAATGACTTCTCATGGGAAAGATCTCCTATGTTGTTTACAGCCTCAGAAACCCACTAGAGGGTCAGCTATGAGTTGGTTTTGACTCAGTGGCACTTAGCAAGGGAAACTTGACCTACCTTTCAAGTCTTATCCAGGCCCTGCCCTCCTCCTACAAGAAACTCTGTGATCAGAGCACCTGGCTTTGTATGCTGTTGGTTTGCTCATAGGGCCTAGACTGTGGGGAGCTATTCCATCAGCATCCATGGATCCTGGAATGCAGGTTACTCAAAATTTGACAGGCATATTTACCTGGCAGAGGAAATCCTGTGATCAAGAAGGAGTTATTCCCAGGGTGAGACTCATCATTGCATTCCAGATGTGCTGACCACTGCAATTTCCCCAAATTCGGGAAACTTGACTGCATAATTGTGGTAGTGGGGGCCTACATACAGGCCATGTTGTTTGTTGTTGTTATGTGCCGTCAAGTCACCTGTGACTCATAGTGACCCAATGTACAACAGCTCTAAACCCTACTTTATTCTGAGCCAAACTCATTTTCTCTGACACATCTACCCACCCCCATTTCCCCAATCACTGAGTCAATCCATCTCATCAAGGGTTTTCCTCTCTTGCACTGTCCCTCCACCTTTCCCAAGCATGACATCCCTCTCCAAGGACTGATTCCTCCTTGCAACTTGCCCAAAATATGTCAGACGGGGCCTCAGAATCCATACCTCCAAGGAGCAGCCTGGTTTCACTCTCTTCAGCATGAACCTGTTTGTTCTCTTAGCAGTATATTCAATACTCTTCTCCAGCACCACAGCTCAAAGGCATCAATTTTCCTTCCATCATCCCTAGTCATTGTCCAGCTCTCTAATGCATAGCAAGTGATTCGCAAAGACTATGGCATGTATCAGGCACACCTTGGTCTCCCGACTGAGGTCGTTGCTCTTCAGTACTCTGGAGAAATCTCTGACAGCCGACTTTCCCAGTGCAATTTGTCTCTTGATTTCCTGACTGCTGGTACTAAGAGTGTTGCTTGTGGGAGCCAAGCAAACTAAAGCTTTTAACAACCTCAATCTCTTCACTGTGTATCAAGATGCTGCCAATCAGCCCAGTGATGAGAATCTTTGTTTTCTTGGGAAATAGTTTCAAGTAGTGACGTTAAGTGTATGTATCAGGAAGAAGAGCTCTGGTGACCAAGTGGTATGGAACTGCGCTGCCATCCCAAAGTCATACAGTTCGAATCAACCAGTTTGTCCCCAGGAGAAAGATGGACAATCTCCTACCGAACAATCACCGTCTCTGTCTTCCTAGAAGCCTGTGAAGGCTGGGGCCTGGCCCTCTGCCCTCCTTCCTCTCTTTATTCTTCAGCTCAGTGTGGGCTATCACAGCCTCAGCGCTTGCAGCAATTTCCAAGATGTGGCTACTACATTAGCACTACACCGACTACTCATGATGGAGCAGATGACCTGGGGAGGTTTAGAGGACCCCATCATCACTGGGGTGTGCAAGCAGGAAAGGTACTGCCAGGAGGTTGCCTTCTGTAAGAGTCTGCTAGAGCATCATTTCTCATTTGGGTCTCTCCTTCTCTTCCTCTGGCTGCAGGAGGTCAGCCCTAGGCTGTGAGAGCTTGTTGGGGTGAATCCCTGACTCAGATACCCCAATGCCTGGCACCTCCAAAGCACATGCACCTTCTGCTTCCTGTACCTGACCCCCAGTTGACCAACTAGAGAGTTTCCCTATTCTTAACGTCACCTGGTTGTTGGCATAGAAAAGCCTGGCTTGGCCTCCCTGCTCCGTGGAACCTCAGTTTCCCCATCTGTAAATTGTGGTTCTGTTCCAAGTTGGAGGGCCAGCCAGCCTGCATTATATGTCTCTGTTTCCCTTGGGGCGCGTTTAATCTCTCTTTCCTCAGCCCTGGCAAACTTTGTAGCCCTTTGAAAGGAGGCTGGACTTCCAAGAGGGTCCGTCCAGTGTACGTGCAGTGGACACTTGTCTGCACATGGCACAGCGGGGAGTCTGAGACCCTGCGCTGTGCAGGCTGGCAGGAGTGCCAGCACCAAGCTTCCTGCCCCAGGGCTGGCCTGTCCCGAGCGCTTCCCGGCCCCCGCGCCCCACCGCTGGCCCCCACGGCCCTCGGCCTGGTGAACGCAGAACAAAAGACGGCGGGGCGCGGAGGCGGGGCCGGCGCGGGGGCGGGGCGCTGCTTAAAGCAGCGGGCGG